TGATTGATATCCAGTGCACAGTTCTACAGAAGAAGTCGTTTGTAGCAATATAGCCAAATGGCCCCCTTTTGGCCCCGCCCCTTAGCCCCCTGGGGAGTCAGCCCCACCATTTGTACAATTTTTAATCACCATCACCTAGGGATGCTTCCAGTCAAATATGGTTGATATCCACTTCTTAGTTCCAGAGAAGAAGTCGCTTAAAGCAGTATAGCCAAATACCCTTTTTGGCCCTGCCCCTCAGCCCCCTGGGGGGTCAGCCACACCATTTGTACAGTTTTAAGTCCCTGCCTCCCAGGAATGCTTTTGATCAAATATGATTGATATCCAGTGCACTGTTCTACAGAAGAAGTCGTTTGTAGCAATATAGCTAAATTGCCCCCTTTTGGCTCCGCCCCTAAGCCCCCTGGGGAGTTAGCCCCACCATTTGTACAATTTTTAATCACCATCACCTAGGGATGCTTCCAGTCAAATATGGTTGATATCCAATTCTTGGTTTCAGAGAAGAAGTTTCTTAAAGCAATATGGGCAAATTGACCCCTTTTGGCCCCGCCTCTCAGCCCCCTGGGGGGTCAGCCCCACCATTTGTACAACTTTGAATCCCCACCACCTAGGGATGCTTCCAGTCAAATTTAGTTTAATTCCAACCAGTGGTTAAGAAGAAGAAGTCGTTTAAAGAAATTGTTGACGTACGGACAGACGACGGACGGACGACGGACGCCACGGTATGGCATAAGCTCACCTTGGTCCTTCGGACCAGGTGAGCTAATAACATAAGAGGGTTTCAATCACAACATCCTCCAAGCACCGCCGGTAAGATTAAATCTTGTTTTATACCGACAAAATTTAAAATATATTTTCTCCATACTAGTGTTTCTAACCAGACAAATTATCAATAGTTGATCTTCCTTGCAGCTGGCACGGTCATCAGAAGAAGTCTCGAACTTGAAGGCAAAACTAGTCAGGCTCATGAAATGACCACCTTACTTATGATGACTGGAGCGTGTTGTGAATGAAATTGTTTTCATTATATCACCATATTTCATTTACAATATGTTATCTTGGATTGTACTCCAATATTTAAAGTTTATTAAGCTCTTAACAATGCCATGTTCATTTAGCAAGTTATGAAATTGGGTCAAGGTCATTCACATGAACAAACTTGATAGCTCTTCATCTGAGCATGCTACTAACCAAATATCAGTCACCCTGAACCTCTATGCCTTTTGATTTTTCAGAAGAAGTTGTTAAAATGATTTCCACACATTTGACTTTTTAAATGGGTTCAGAAGGGTATTCATTTGAACCTTTCACTGGCCAAATATCATCACCCTTGGCCTTTTGATTATTCAGAAGAAGTCATTTAAATGATCTCATTACATTTAATCCCTGTGACTTTGAATATGGGTCAAAGGGCATTTATTTGACCAAAAAATGTAACTCTTCATCTGAACATGTACCTGGCCAAATATCATCACCCTTGGCCTTTTGATTATTCAGAAGAAGTCATTTAAACAATTTCAACACATTTAACCCCCTCGACCTTGTATATGGGTCAAGGGCATTCATTTGACCAGAAAATGTAGTTCTATATCTGAGCATGCATCTGGCCAAATACCATCACTCTTGGCCTTTTGGTTATTCAGAAGAAGTCATTTAAATGATTTCAACATATATTTGACCCCTGTGACCTTGACTGTGGGTCATAATGAAGTTAACAGCTGCGATGTTTGGCACAGTATTTATAATTCACACTTCTGATTGGTTTAAGTTGTTCAGCGATGAGATTACTTCCCAATGATGTGTTCTGTGCAAAATTATCTTGTTTTTACAAGATTTGATAAATAATCATCTGTGATGAACTAAAAAGTGTTTTCTGTCTTTTGAAATTAAATAATATTTTTTTCCATATGTAACATATAATCTCAAAAATAATCCTGGAAATTCCTTCAATAGATGTATCTTCATTGTACAGTTTTCAAACCAAAAACCAACTGACAAAATCTACATAAACATCAAACCATTCCAAATCATGCAACATCTATACCATTCGACATAACATTACCATAGAAATGTATAATTACCACCAGTCAGTGTCCTGCAGAGCAATGGGTCAACAATAAAACATCATTATTATAGCAACAAGTATTTCCTGGGTCAATACACCTTAACCCTTTCACCCCTATGTCACTTTAGTAGATTCTACCATGCATTGATCTGGATGAGTCCAATATGGTCTAAAATGGTGAAAGGGTTAGATATATCAATAATAATAAGTTTAGGTTCTTATATATCGCTTTATCACAACTTAGTCCTTAGGTCATCTCAAAGCAATTCACAAATTATTATCAGTGGTTATGGGGCCTTTGCAACCAGCCAATATCTTTCTCAACTCCCTGGGGAGCATTATCAGCCGGAGCTGCCATTTATGCGTTCACAGCTAGCATTCTACAATTCAAGCACTACCCAACCACATACTCATTTACAGCTGAGTAGACTGGAACAAGCGGAGTAAAGTATCTTGCTCAAAGATACAACACAGTGCCGTGCCGTGACTCGAACCCACAACCCTTCCGCCACGAGCCCCAGAGCTTCCTACCATGCTATCAATGTAATACCTGCAGAATAAATTATTTTGTTCAAGGAAAAATTGATTCCCCAGTTCATCTCCCTCCTACTTCTATG